AGTCAAGCTTACCATCCCTCCGTTAGCAGCTGATTGGTACCAAACTTGTCTGGGAGAAGCGAAAGAAATTACAGAAAAGAAAACACTGACTTATACAATGCTGGCCCCGCAAGTTATTGTAGACCAGAAGGCGTTGAAAATGCCACCAGCTTCTGAATGAAGTAGAATGCGTGAGGCAACCCAAAAACGTATTCGTCAGGTCCAAATGCGTTATTATTTTTTTAGCCCATTATATTCGCGTGATTGCTCAGCGACGTACTCCTTGCAATCGTGAAGCGCCATGCTCGTCTTTTACACGAACGATTTCACAACATTTTGCGATGCAAACCTGATGGAGGTTTGAGTTCAGCAATGTCTTCATTTTCTGTACCTTCATTCGGACACTAGCTCCCCAATTGTGAGGATTGCGGACAATTGGTACATTTCCATCTTTTCTTTACAAAACTTCGCATTCTCGTACCAAAGCAGGTCCAGCTAAAGTATTCCTCGAAGCTCGACTGCCTCGAATAAGTGTAAGACCGACTTCACACTCGGCGACGGACAAGCCTCCATCGCTTGTTCGTCGCCGAGTGTGACGTCGGTCTAACAAGGGAAGGATACCAGGTCGAAGTGGCCATTTGTAACGAGACATACACCACTAGATGTGTTTTTGGACGCTGATCTCGAATCTGCTCTCCAAATCTGCGGAACGATTCTCTGAACGTAGTTATGAAGCGAGATAGTGCAGTGGCAGCGGCCCGGGCCGACGAGCAAGAGGTCGTGAGATCGACTTCTTGGCGAGTTCTCAGCTGCTTTTCTTGAGCATTGTTCAAAGGATACTACTCAGCGATTTCGCGATTACATGTAGGTACTGACTAAAAAGATCGCCAGTACATCGCATTGAGGAGCGACCACTTCAGTAGTTGGCGTTCATTTCCTTGTCTGGGGAAGAGACATTCAAAACAGGGCCGATTAGGTGAGACTAGGGCTGACCATAATCCCATCAAAAGGGAGGACGCCAGGGAGAACGCGAAAATGTCCACTGCTCCTCAAAGATCCATACACCTTCTTAGGGGCTCGGTAATTGGCGCACTCACCAGAACGCCGAATCATCAGACCAATACGTACGTTTTCCTTCTAGCGGAATCGCCGAATCGCTGAATCGCCAGTCATTAATGGGCCCGAGAATGGCTTCTGCTCTAGGTGAAAGTGCGCTCCAATATGAAAATGCGCATATTGACCGACCGGCGACAACTCGTCCGCGCGCGTTGTCATCATGTATTCCTCCTAAACTCAAGCAGAATTCTGCTGATCCCACAATACTCTTCTACCCTTTTGCTTTGGTTTTGATAGGTTACCCCTAAGGAAACCCGTGAACTACCATCTGTGCTTGGTAGCGGCTAGATAAGCTTCCTACGTAAATCAACGGTTTCGCAAAGAAGCCGAAGGCCTTTCTTTTGATTGTTCTAACGAGAACAATTTTCTTTGAAACTTTCGATCCATTAGTCATTAATCCATCACAACATATCTCGAAAAGGGGGCGCAAAGCTAACTACTGGAATCACTTGTTCGTGAGAATTTCTAACAGTTTCAGGCCCTAAAAGCTTCCCGCATCAAAGCGAATCCATTGAAAGTACACATCATTCGTGACTTGGCATAAAACAAAGAAAAAAAAAAAAAAAAACAACAAAAAAAAAAAAAACCAAATATAAATAAAATATAGTCTGTCGGGTTCAAGTTTGAAAACAAAGAAGAGCCCTTGTGCGAAGAATTTCTCCGACGGCTTGCGTGGACGAGTTTCCCTGCCGGGCTTTTTTCACCGCGTGATTCACACAGCTGCTGTCTCATCATGCGATCCCGTTGTCATATGATTATCTACATGAAACCGTTCTAATTTTGTGATTCAGCAAGAGTCTTTCTTTTTCTGAGCGCGCTTATCTTTCAAAACATCTAGTGTGGCAACATCTGTCGTGGCGATCTGATGAGGGTCAGCTGTTCCTCACATAGCAGTTTCCCAGATCGAATTGTCCGTTAAGAGCATCCTAAACTCAAGTTCTGCGATTAAGTCAGATCGCGTTCCCGTATTGAAAATGCTCCGCTGTTTTCAAGGTTCTCAGGTAATCATTATGACGCTCTGAGGGTAACTTTCATTTGGGTCAGATTTTTACAGGGTCAAGAAAAAAGGCGGACCGTCTGCTCTTGAAGAATATCTATTACTCCCATCAATCAAGCTTGATTTGTGGGTTTCGAGCATCAGGTAACGGTGCGTCGATGTTTAGTTGGGAACTCGATGAAGGTGTGGACCCTAAAAACAACTAGGGATTGCGTCGAGGCCTTGGCTATTTGCTTCTTGTCTTTGTTGTTCGAGTCAAGCTTCTTCTCTGAAACTTCTCAACTCTGATATCAGTTCGTTAGTTTTGAGAAACGAAAGGCAGGATCATGTACCAGAAAGTAAGAATGCGGTGTAAGACTACTTTGTTGCCGAACGGGTGAGGTGACTTTCTTTATGGACTTTTTTCAGGCAAAAGAAGGTTCGTGTTTCTAAATGGGGCTTCGTAATTTGTGTAGAATTTGCCATCCCATTCAAGCACTGCATGGCTCGACACCAGCAGTGCCAATCGATAGTAGGGCTTGTTGTGGAGAATAACAGAACGATTTCGTTTTACCTCAGACCAAAGCCAAAGAAAGCCTGCTATGTGAATCAGGGTGAGCTACATGTCTAAGAGTTTGGTCAAGGGTTACCAGTTTTTCACATTCCCGCTCCCCCTCTCCTCCACCAGGTATTGTCTCACTATCCACCTCCGTCCCTAAGTCCGACTTCAGTCTTCCTTCCTGCCTGAAATACACCTCATTCTAGTAAAAAACGTTCTCCGTGTAGGGTTGGAAAATGTGGTACAATAAAGCATGAACAATTCTGAAATTTTTAGAGAAATCGCCAAAATTCCGTGATATTCTTTCGAATATTCAATTTTTTCCGCAGAACCTCACACTAACTAAGCTCTACTTCCCTTCAAAAATGCTTTGCCATGTCCACTCAATAGGCTATCCCCTCTTAAACTTCTATTGTGTCGGACTTCGATTCACCCATTGAATCTCGGGTTTCCGGGCTTTACGGACTTCTTGAACTTTCTTCTATGGTCCTGCCACGAATGGCGGAGAGCACAGACGATTAGAGAACGGCGCCTGGCTCGGCTCCAAATCCCAAGGAAGGAGGTGAGAGCCCTAGGACTAAGCCTTGGAGGGAGGGACTCCGGGTGGGTGAGCCAACTACAGTGTGGCAAAAGTTTGAATGTGTGAGATCACAGTGGTCATCAGCCGCTGATAAGGCGAGAGAGCGCAGACGAGAGCATCGATTGAGGCGCTTAAAGGACCGAAATCAAGTAGTCCGTCGACCCTAGCGGAGCAGCCCGTAAGCTTCAGTATAGGTCGCTTGACGCTCAACAGAGACTCACCACACATGCGTGCGTCACACTGCATTTCTTTTGTAAATGTCCAGCTAATAGGTGTGATATCGTCCATCAATAACACAGTAGCCCTGAACAGTCATCAAGCACAGCTGCGCAGTTCTTGTTCGAATTAGTTTCCTATTCTAGGAATTTGCTCGTTTCGATGAGGGGTTATGCCTGCCGCCAGGAGAAAGGCAACATGGCCTCCTTGCTTTGGAAATTGTTAACTGTTTGTCAAATGACTTGGTTTCATTGCTGCAACCTTTTCCATATTTATTGTGAATGTTAGGTTGTCGCTATATACGACTCTCCTAGATCTAGATTACTTGATCTGATTCTATTCTATGTTCAGGTACCTGAAAATGTCGAATCGCACGAATAGTGGTTATGGTGAGCATTACCAGCATCGCAATAGACTTGGTAGAGAATCCCATGACGAAGATCCGCCTTTGGGGACTTATATTGTTCCAGGTTTCTCGTCCAACGAGGAGCGCACTTCACGTGATAGCGAGCACCGTCACCAGCCAGAACATCACTATCATAACGCGGCTTCTGGACCATCTCAGCATGGGAACCGTCCTGCAGGTGAGTCTATGCTTTGTACTTGTCTGCAAACTTACGTTTCTTGATATGCTAACAGGCGCGAGTGTAGTTGAGAGGATGAGAAACACAGTGGCGCAGTAGTCCATCCCAGCAACAGTAATCAAATTTCTCCCATTGGGAGGAAGGTACGGGAGGGAGTGAATCATTTAGCCTGTGCAAGGAGAGGACCAAGCGTGCATGGAAATAGAAATGCATGTTAAGGTTTTGAAGGCCCATGGGCGCTTTGACAAATTGTGTTTGCTCAGGTTTACCCACCTGCAATTGATAGTTTATTTCATATTTGAGTTGTTTTTTTTAGCAACACAGCTGGTCATTGTTTTTTTAACCATTTGCCTAAAGTTGCCTAGTAAGATAGATGTGGTATATGTTACTGATCTCTTCTCGAAGCACTAGGAAATTTTGAGAACTAAATCATCTTACACCGCTTCGTTGTTTTCCATTATTGATTAGCTCTGAAGAGAGAAGGAGAGCGGATAGGCTACGTCGAGAGAAGTTTCAAAAAAAGTCTACCATGTTTCAGAATCTGAGAGATATACAAATACAGCACAGAAGACAGACCGGCTACTAACTTGGAAATTCTTTCGAAAGAAGCTAGAACTCTATACAAACGCGCTCCATTGGTATGTATTTTTAGCCAGTAGGGCCGCTTTTTCACGTGTTTTAACAGTGGCCATCTTTCTAAAAGCTACGAATGACACGGGTAAAGAATATGTCGTGGAAAGTCATTGTGCTATGGATGTCTACCTAGGCTACAAAGGCGCCAATTAGAAAAAAAAAACCATTATAAACGAAATAATTAAAATGGTTCGTTTCGCTCCTTCCTCAGACGAACCTTATTATTTCGTCAATCCCCGGAGCTCATCAGTGAGTTGGGATTGGCGAAATAAAGACACAGGGGAAAGACGAATAAACCTTGAGCTGCACGGTGTCGCACGCGAGCTCGAGAGCTCTTTTTTTCAGCACATATTCGTTCTTGCTGCTGTAGTTTCAAGTAGTGATGTGAATATACGATCTTCTAAGAAAAAGCGATTCAAGAAACTGCTTGAATTGAATTGAATTGCTGTTCAAGCCCCCTATTCATGGCGTTCCTAAGCTGCTACGGCCAAATAAATCTCCTAAAACTATTCCTCAGGTGACATAATAATGCACTATCTATAATAGAAACGATTGGCTGCATAGAACATGGAATTTAATTTAGAATAGCTGTGTTACAATTTTATCCTCATAAACGTCTCTTCGTGAATGAACAATACCAGTTCCAGTCGCCGAAGGGCGTCTTTAATGCATTAGTTCCCTCTGGAGGAGGCGGTACGATTCATTTGACTTTGGCGGCTGGACTTGGCCGATTACTTGTTTCAATAGTGATGGTGCTTTCACTGTGGCGTTTTGCACGTTTGCTTACATGCTCTTACTCATCACCATCTCTACTTCGGAATCTGATGAATGCAGGGCCCAGAAATTTTTCCCTCACTCGTTTTGTTAACGGCTCATATCAAGTTGGTTGCCATTGATGGGAAGCCAAATGAGCCAATTGTGTTCCCTATTGATAGCTTGTTAAACTTCGTACCTTCAACTAGCTTGTTTAGTTTTGCTCTGCTGATAATTTCCACATGTTCACGTGCACTTTGTGTTGTGCAAGTGTTTTTTGTTATTTATTTTGCAACAATTCAATGAAATTTTGCTTCCAACTTATAGGAAAGTGGTGATCGTGTGGTTATATGTCGATACAATCCGACGCACATTCTCGATGTTGTGGACATCGACCACCATCAGAAAATATGCAAGGACCGCCTACGCCTCGAGAAATATGGGTGCTCTTTCAAGGTTTTTATTCCTGTGTAATTGATGGGACGAACTTTTTTTTTAACTAAAAACGTGATAACTAGTGTCACCTTCAGACAGTGTTAAAACCCATACAATGGTGATTTATTACAAAGGCAAGCAAAGTTCGAGATGTGTGAGGTTCTGCTTGTGTAAAGTGGTACTTAGAACACGTTCATTCAGAGTGTGATTGTGTCATTGTAGCCCTGCCTTTTTGGGCCGTGTGCTGAACCTCGCTGTCGGGATGGGGAAGAAAATCCCTTTGTGTTCCATCTGTTTTCCCAGCCAGGACTGGCACAATAAGGGGCGTATTTTGTAGCATATGTGTACGCAAAAATAAAAAAGGCATCGGATGTATAAAACTATTTCATGCGAACCAAATAACATTGGCTTTGCTAGCATTTGAGTATCTCATGAATGCAATTTGCAAGTTAGTTCTAGATTGCAAACTATGCTTTAGCCCTTTCATTTCGTTGAAAAATCGGTATATAAAATTGAGCAACATATAGCCTGGAGTTTCTGGGCAGGTGCTTTGACACATGAATCAGATCACAATAAATGACTATTATCAGTGACAAAATTTTGAGCTCGCGGTTTCCACAGCGATGCTAATTAGTAGGCCAGGCATTGTGCGAGATTGGAACTCTCACTTGGACCCTTGGCATCAATTTATTATCACTACTGATTGTGAGATCAAGCGTATCTTCCCTCAGCTTTCGGTGGTATTTTAGCAAGGCCCATTTGCACTCACTCCTTGCACTTTTAAATTAATGTAATTAACCTAACAGCTGATATCGACAACGATATATGAAGCCTAAAGGATGTTATGCTTTGGTTTGTTTTGTGCACTGCTACTTTTTATCGCAGTTCGCATACGAATGTTGTCGCAAGGGTGCTGATTCATGGTTTTCCATCAGAACGGACTCACTGGCACTCATAGTTTTCCTTATTTTTTACGAAAACTCATACTATGAATGAGGGTTCCTGACAAGCATAAGTCTGAGTTGAATTGCGTTCATTCCTCGCGGCTACTTTGCAGTTTGCTTGTAGTTTGGGGGTGGAGGACTGCATATTGGCAAGAGATCATCTGGTCGCTTGGTCGCGCGATCACTATAAAACCTCGACGCATGTGGTGTGCGATGATTCCGGGACAATCTGGGTTCTGATTCTTGTTCGCTCATTAGCCACCTTTCGGTTCGTAACCTCTTATCCTTAGTTGATTTCTTTTCATTATCTAAACTCCACTTTCTGTAGCCAATCAATAGCTCTTTCTCTTCTGCTGTATTCTATTGGAATACATCTGTGTTACGGCTCATTGTAGCTTATGAACGGTACTGTGGCTTGTATGGAGCAGTACCATGTCGATTCGCCAGCCACAGTCGCGCTAAATGGAAAAATCGGTCTGTACCTATGCTGAACATGCGCTCGGCGATGGCGGCCGCTCAAATCGCTAGGCTGGTAACCGAGTCAGGCGCGTACCACACCACAGGGGAGGGACATTGAGGTAAATGCTCTTTAATATGCGAGCTCTTCCAATTACTGAACCGCAGTCTTAGTCAATCTAATGGGCTGTAGAATTCTGGCTGAGCATTTCTCGTTTTGTTAAAAAAATTTACATGTTTGCTATTGGTGACCGCCCAGTTATTGCATCTAACATTTTAGGATTAAGTGGTCGTGATTGTTCTCCATTTGCTGTGCATTGCATTCACGTAGAATTCAAGGTAGGTGTTATAAATTTCTTGAAGTAATAGTTGCTTTAATATACGTAGTCATCAGTCGAACGGTTGACTTGCAGGCTGCTACGACTAGAGGCACTTTAGTTGTGCTCTGCTTAGAAGCGGTATTCTCCGCTAATCGGCGCGTACGGAGAAACATGGATCGGCATTTTTTTTCTTTCTGACGATGCTTTCCCCGCCAAGGAGCATGAAAGTTCATGTTTTGCGATTCGTAAGTGGGTACTCGCATCTAGTAAGGATGCATGTACCATACTGACCTATTGAGCGCGTTTTGAAACCAAAAAAAACTGAATCAAAAGCCTGCTAGCGATAAGCTTTTGAACGCATTTCTGGCATCCAGGCTTGCCGAGAAATTAGTCCCATAGTTCATCTCCATGCTTGTGCCCCTAAATCATGCAGAAGACGCTTTTCAAAAAGTGGGGCACGACCTGCAAGATCCTTCTTGTTAGGTTAGCTTTTGTAATGAATAGCAATCAGTATGACCTGCTGGTTTATTTTAGGAATAGCCATAGATGCGTTTAGAGTTGCTCGTTCCTGTTGCATCTTTACATGCAGGCGGGACTCTCACTGTAATTTTGTCAAGCCCACCTATCAACATGTTCTCTATCGCCCTTTTTCCTTTTCCCGTTAGTCCACAGCGCCTTGCTCTCGCTCAATGAATGGATGAGACGATGGGAGGGGATGCGGTTTTGAAGGTTGCGGAAAAGAGACCGTTTTCATTGTATGTAAGTGGGTTGTTCTTTTTTTTGGAAACGTGGTCCCGCATGCAGCCCGCCACGCAGAGATGAACGTGGATCTAGGACCGAACCTCAGTCGATGCGTGCTGCACATGGCTCTTGAAGACAATCTGATCAAGCGTTGTCCATCTCTGCTTTTGGAGTAATAATAAATTCAATAAGAAATCATTACTTACAGATAGGCTCCTCCTTGAGGTGCGCCATCTTATCCTCAGTTCTATGTGCTGAAAAAGTTCCAAACAGGAGTTAGAGCAGGCTTTTCATCAACGTTTAGACAAGTTTCTTTACTACACTACTGTTCATAGGAATAATGAGTGTAGTTGGGAGCAAAAGAGAGCTCATAGACGACCGCAGGCGCGTGGTCGCGACAAGCTTGGCATTATTTCGATCGATTGGACATCTGTTTAGTTTTTTCGCTGTTTGCGAAATTTTCACATGGCATGAGAGTTTCGTAGTCTGCAGCGAGTCCTTGGCGGTCGAAAGCCGCTCTGCTTTTAGTACTATGACTATTCTTTGGATGGTGTGTGCTCAAGTGCACCATAGTAGTCAGAAGTATGTGCTGAGCACCACCAAATCGTTGTAGGGGGTGACGATTTTTCATGGGAAATTTTTTTCAGCGAAAGTCGGGTAAAGAACTATTTGTGAGTTTTTTTTTCAATGAATATTTTTAGTGTTTTGTAGGTCCAGGATTCGCGTCATTCCAGTAGTGTTATCAGCCGCATATGTAGCTTATGAGCTCCCATCCCATTCTTCCATCGATCGAATGCCTTCCTTGCCCTTACTGGTATATGATGTTAAGTTGCACTTTTTGTGAGTGTATTCACGAAAACTAGTTTCTATCTCTACGTGACAAGTGCCCTTTTTGTACGTGATAAGTTCCATGTTGCTGGAAAAAGGACAAACTTCCTTCTGGATCGTTTTTCGTTTCTAAAGTTTGTTTATGTAATGCAGCTTCATTTATTCTATTCAACAGTGAACATGCTATTGAGTAAGGTTAGTGCAGTCTAAGGGCATCTTATATACACGAGAGATGCTGAATCAGGAAATCGTCGTTGAGTATGGACTGGTAATCCCGACTAGCTCTATTTAAAGTTTTCTTCCGTTGTTACTTTTGTGTTCCCGGTTTATGTTTCTTTGTTGTCTTGTTTTTTTTTTTGAAGAGTTTTTGAATTTTTATTGTATGGCTAATGAAGCGCTACTCATCTTGTCGGTAGTTTTTTAAATGTGTTACTTTGCACAAATATCTTTTCAGCCCTTTCAGTGATTTCTTAATGCTTCCAGTGAAGTTTTTACATTTTTTCTTGAAAGGGTAGCTGGTGTGCTTCATTCACTTTGAATTCTTGTGAGCCAGGTAAATTTTTATACTTTTCCCTAAATCTACTTTACTTACCACTTCTTTGGGAATTTCTTTTGATTGTAGAGTAGTGGGCCTGAATGCTGATTCCTTCATTCAAGGGCCAAGTCGCTTATAGATTGCGCTGGAGTTGGTTTTTTATCTTGACTATTGTAGCTTATTTGGAGAAATTATAAATTAATGAAATTATATTATATTATATATTATAGCTTTTTTCAATATTTTCCAGTCGTGTGTGATCGAATTGATTGTTCAGCGAACCCAGAATTTCTTGAGGAACTTCTGGTTCGGTGCGCTTTGACAGCCGCAATTTTTCGCATACGCTGAGCTGATTTCCTCAAAGTTGTTTGGGTCACGAGATGCCTAATGAAGTGGCTGATATGGGTGTAGTTCAATTATTGCGAGTGCTATGGAGATAAGAGTTATTTTCCAACTCGCCCTTTCCCTCAATGCCGTTATAAAGAGCGATTACAAACTTGTGCGTATTCATTGATTTGTCTTTCGCAAGAGCCATCTGTCGTCAAATGACGGACTGTCAGCTATTAGTCATCGCCTATTTATTTCTGTGGAATCGTAGCTGGAACCGACCAGTATTTTCAATCTTGAACTTTGTATGGTTATCAGCGGCTGTCGTTTATACGTTCCTTTGGGGCAGGAGTTTGGTGAGTTTTGAATTTTTTTCACTCGCAATTTGTTTACTCACCATATTCGTGTATAATATATAGAGTGGTTATGAATTCGGAATGTTTTGAAAGGTATTTCGCAACAGTGTGTTGGCTTTTGAGAATGAACGATTGCCATCTCTGGTCTTTTTAGTAACGTATTGTTACGCTTTCCGGCTGCGAAATGCGTAAGTTCAGATGGCTTTGCTTCCGCTGCATCTTGTGAATATTGTGCAAAATCAAAGTAAGCATTTCTTGTTTTTTATCTCTGGTTTCTTCTGAAAAACGGGTTCTATAGGGGTCCCAGTCTTGAGTTTTTTTTGGTCACGAAATTTTAAAGATTTTCAGTGCAGAGCAGTGAGCTGACCTCGGGAGTTTTGTGACTGTCCTTACCTGGGTAAGGAATCTCCGTGAGTATCATCGTAATTTAGATATACACAAGTGTAGGTGTATTGTCGCTTTGGATTCAGTTTGGAGGCTTAAAATAGAAATGTGCTCAAATAATAATGGCGATAAGACGAGGTGGAACCGCACTAATAAGCAAACGAAGAGAACTTTTTTTTTTACTGGTACGGTTAATGCAGTGAAGTTTATTTGTTTGAAAGTTGAAAGGTCTTACATCGTGTGATTGACTGGGTGCTTCTTCAATGGAGCTGCATCAATTAGTCCTGTAAGGATTTGCATCATTTCAAAAAGGCATTTATTAGAAATATTCTTAATATTAGGTTATCTTGCATATTTGATGGATAAAGACAGACAGTGATGTTTTTATAGATGAGTGTGAGCATGGGTATGGTTCGCTAGGGCAAAAGCGATTTTGCTTTTCGGTGCGCGAAACCTTGTTCTGATTCGGGAATCTTAGGTCCACCGCTGATCATGAGTGGAAATGGTGTCCCGCAGTGAAGAAAGTTTTGCGCGAGCGAAAAGCGGAAAAGTCTCTGTCACAGCGAAGCATATTTGATGAGAGCGTTACTGGGAACGACAGTGAACCTTCAATCGATAGCTCTTTTTTCGCGCCTACTCTTCCGCCACTGTAGTAGACCATTGAGTAGTTTTATTGATTTGCCGATATCGCTCATCAAGTCATATGAAAAGAGTGATGGTCAGGTGAGGAATGCAATTGACCGGCAACATGTGATGCTAGAAGTCAGACGGGGGCACACGGCTTCACTCACTGTCATGCTTTGGCCTTTGTCCTTTCATATGACTTAGGCAGCTGTAGGATCTCGGTTTATGATCGTGTTCTTTATTCGCATTTCAAATACCTTTGGGTCATCTATCAAGTAGCGATACGTCTAGGGCATTCTTTTAGCTTCACGTCAATGTCGTAATAGCTTTCCCTTTTGACCTTGACCTTGACAAAGGTAAACGTCATTTCAAGTTATGGGTGTGCTACGTGATTCACCAAGACCATTCCCCTTCTTTTCGCAATCGAGACCTGATAAGCATCTTTTTTTTTCTCGCTTCTGATCATTGTTACGGGATTCGGTTCTTCTAAACAATTGCTAGCCTTCTGGAAAAAAGGTTGAAAATACTTGTTAGAAGCTTATATTTTTTCTATCTTGTTTTCATAGGTTATATTTTCTCCGTAGAAGCACCACAGATCTATTTGATCGATTTATTATGCAGTAGTGAATTGCACTATAAGTACTCCGAGTATCGCCATTATTATTCAAGAAGGTGCAGTCGCAGTGATTCAGTTGCAATACGTCTGTCAAGTGCGAAGTAGTTGACGTCAATATTGATCGCCGTCCGTTGACTTTCGTACGTTTCGCTACCTGTCAAACTTCTGATATATGTATGCATGGGTTCAGCCAATAACCCTTCATGCACAGGTTTTCTTCGACGATCAGCTGTGTACAGGCGGGTTCATGTGATGTATGTGGTCCAGTTGAAAAATCAAGGATTAGATGCCACTATTTTTTCTTTTTTTTCAGTTTAAGTTTAGTTCGTCAGTAATCACATTTCTCCGCATGGTTTATTCGCGTACTTTGCGGACATCACCGTCATAGTGAAGGGCGAATCGTTTGATGAGTAATGGAGGACGGTCGGGCTGCCTTTGTGGAACGAGTTGTGACTTGCATCAGCATTTGTCGTGAGGAAGAAATGAATCATTTCATCTTCTATTTTTCACATAAGATAGCATCGCTTTGCATTGCACTAATGGCGTTTTTCTTCTATTCATTCAGTTTTTCTTTCGCTTTTGTTCTGTTCATAGACAGTTTTCTCATAAAGCATGTCAAACCGGATTTGAAAGTGTGTCTGGTTTCAGCAATGGCATCGCCTTATAGCGTCCTCGCCTTTGAACGTTGTGTGATGTTCATTTCATTGATTAACTTGCGCTATGCCTGGCGCTCAACGTCGTCGTAGCCTATGAATGACAATTTCAGATTGCTTCATGCGGTAATTCGACGCCATTTTAACTTCAAATCTTTCTTCTCTAATATTTGCTGCTTTCTAAATAGGGCAGCCTAGAATTCAATCGATATTTTCCGAGATAGCAAAACAGCGGCAAAAATTAAGTTGTTTTCTATATCACACCATCCCTTCTGGATTTTAGCATCCTCTTGTTCCAACGAGAGTCGAGTTTAGCGGCTCTTTGAAAATTACTCCATTCCATTTGCCGGTGTCTATGCCAACCATACTTTCCTGATAGTTTTTTTGTTGCTCGAATTAGTCTCCGTCTACCTTCCTTTGAAGAGTATTCAACGTCGTGTTTATTGGATTCAGCTGAAGTGCAAACCGTAGACGATTGTGCGGTGTTCACAGGCACCAGTATGAATAGGGTATTGATTTTTGTACGGATTTCATACGCAGCTGCTTTGTGAGACGCTACATTTTCAAGTTTTGAAGTAGATGTCTGTTTTATCATCTGTTTGACCCCTCCTCTTTTTCGTTTTCTCCCCTTTCATTCGATATCGTAGAAACATTCGTTTTTGGTTTATTCTTCTATTCTGAAGTTTGATTACGTGGTGTTGCCCCATAGTGTGCCTTGTTGTAGCCAGCTATAAGACACATGAGGGAAGGCTCAAGGTTACCGTCGGTCTGTAACTTGAAATTAGTACTTTACCTGAAAGAATTGTGTTGATGTTTGTGATGGACGCTGATGTGATGTTTCGCTTATCTTAACAATTCTTGCTTCGTTGTCGGTCGTCATTGATTTTTATCCTGTTTTCACGCTTAATTTCTTCAAAATTCGCTTCCTCGTATTGTTTTTCTTCGTGAGATCATCAAAGCATCATCGTTTCACCACCTTTTCTCGTTGTCTGGCGTGTTTTTGGAAATTGCGAATGTTATTGCAATTTCAGATACGTCTATAATGTCAGGCAGGAAGAAGGCGCTCCTTAAGGTGATTATACTCGGTGATTCCGGTGTAGGCAAGACATCGTTGATGAATCAGTACGTTAATCGAAGATTCAGCAATCAATATAAGGTGAGATTTTGCACATTTTCCTTCTTTAGCGGATTCGCTTGTTTATTATATCACGATTTTCTGCCTCATATCAACATATGCGTATTTGTATATGTGAAGTAGCGATCAAAAGACTATAAACGGTTTTTCGTGCATTATTTTCTCTCATCTTAGCAGTCCCCTTCAACTATTCTATGCTGTAACTTCTAGGGTTTTTGAAACTATAGCTCTAAGGAACCAAAGTGTTGAAATAAGAACTTCAAAATAATCATTGGGGTTTTTTAAGAGAAGGAAATATGATGCACGAGAAATCGTTTCTACAGGCTCTTTTGATCACTACTATCGATATTTTGTTATGAATCGTATGGTTGATTGAACTTGCAAAAGTAGAAGTGCACTATTAAAACAAATCAGCTGCTATTATTAGAAGGAGGAGAGAGGGTTTTCAGTCGTATTGCGTAACAGTGACGAGGCTGTCACTAGTGTGGCAGACGGACATCATTCCCATCATATGTGTGATACTCCAAGAACCTTTCGGATTCTCATAGGATTGCCCAAAAATTTCCTTCATGAATTCTGAATAGGCTCATCATTTCAGGCCACAATAGGTGCGGATTTCCTTACTAGAGATGTGCAAATTGATGACCGTACTGTGACGTTGCAGGTGAGTGTATTCCTCGCACTATTTCTTTCCAGTTGCTATTTTTGCTCTCGTTGATTGGTTTTTTTTTGCTTTCTTCGTTCGATCGAGAACAAAAAAGAAGAGATGGGCGCGAAGATTGCTGATGAGACAGCCGTCATATGATGATTAGGCTTGATTATAGAGCAGTGAACTATCCGAAACGCGCTTTCTTGTTTTTTTTTCATCTGGATTGTTTTGAGGTTGCAGCTTTATTGTTCGCAAATGCGTTGCAGGCAAGGTTATGCGTAGGAGTGAATGTTACCTGCTAGAGGATTAGAGTACTCAGCAGAGGAAAGGACTGTCGTAGTGTGGCGTTACGGGGTTTTGGGCACTATGTGGGAAGTCGTACCAAAACTCACATCACAGCCTATCGCTGCTACGTGTAGGCACATATTGTCACGCCGTCAAGTCAAATAGGCCTTGCCGGGGAATAAATTTCCCGTCAGTTTTCCAAAGTCCACTGGTTTATCATATTTTCATACGAAACAAAGTTTTTTCCATTTGTTCCAAAAATAGGAAACCCGCCCATAAGTTTCAGAACTAGTTTTACCTTTCCTACTCTACATGAAGTCCACTTCCGCATCATTTTTGACTCTGTCAGTTATACAAATCCAAAATATACATGATCCATCTCGGTTAGCTGTACTCGCTATGACTCCAGTGCTTTGTCCCAGTATGTATCTTCCATTCAAAAATAGACAGTTCAATACACACACACACCAACAGTGTTAAAAATAACTTTGCTATCATAACAATGATGAAGATTCGCTACCTCGCTAAAATATATACGTCGAATGGCCATCTTTCAAATTCTAAACCAACATACTCGCTTCGTCTGCTTTCGCATTCAAATCTGTTTCTTAACAGCACAGTTTGTGCCACTGATGCGTTTGACTTCGTACTGAAACGTTATTTTCGTTTATGTAGTCGAGCGTCGCTTTCGCACAGAATAGCTTTCATTGGTATAGTAAAAAAAAAAAATTTTTAAAGCCTTCTCCTGCTAAAAGTAAGTGAATAAGCTGAAGCTAACGATGTCCAAATGTGTTGGCGACATCCTTGGTGTGGAAAAGAACAACAGAAATATGTGAGTGACGATCTGGTCGTTAAGAGCAGCTTGCGAACCGTTTAGAAGGCTAAATCATTAAACCGCTATTTCAAGTTGTTCACGAAAGAGGAAGGAGAGAAAGAGAAAGAGAAAGAAATTTTCGTGTTTGTTCACGGTTGATCGTCTTGTAAACTCTAGGTTTCGTTTTCTCCCGTAAGAAAAGGCGATAAATATCGATGGACATTAAGCTGTTTGATGATTGAGTACAATTGAAAACATTGTTTTCTCGTTTATGATTTTAAATTATATGATTAAGTGGTCTCTGATTTCAGTATATGGACAATCTGCAGGACAGGAGCGCTTCATCCTTGGTGTCGCCTTCCTAGCCGTCGGTGCTGACTTGTTGTGTTGGCTTTTGATGTGACTAGTGCGTCGTCATTTAAGAGTTTAGATTCGTGGCGAGACGAGTTCCTTATTCAGGCCTGGTAAATCTTTACCATAATTGAGTCATGTTTCTCATTTTCGCAGTGTTTTCTGACTAATGTTGTTTACGCTTTTCTTTTAAGCCCACGTGATCCAGAAAACTTTCCTTTTGTGCTTCTCGGAAACAAAGTGGATTTAGAAGCGCAGCGAGCTGTGAGTTCGAAACGGGCACAGTCGTGGTGTCAGTCCAAGAATAACATTCCATACTATGAGGTAAGGCAACGAAACATTGAAAAATTTTATTTTGCTGTACTTCTTTTTGCAAAGTTGAAATGGTCATGTTTAGGTGTCTGCAAAAGAAGCAGTGAATGTAGAGGCTGCTTTCCAAGCAATTGCGCGCGATGCACTCGCGAGAGAGGCTCAGGTCAGATTTTGGGTTTATTCTTACCAGTTTTTTCTTTCTTATTGGGCGTGTAGGAACACGGTGCTTCAATTCAGTGTTAGTAATTCTCATTCTCTTTCTTAGTGAAAGGATTCATTTTCTATTCATTATATTATGGCTGATAAGCCGCAGTGTTCACTCGAAGGGGAAGTAACGAGCCTCACTCTGGACCTTGTTTTCCGTCATTCCATTTTCGAACTTGAGCTGTTCCTCCTTTTTCCTCCTACTTTTAGCTTATAAAATAACCTTTCTTTTCAACCTCGAAGATTTGTCGTGCTCATCCTTGAGAATTGGATGGGGTATAAAAGATTGGAGCAAAAAAATGAAGTTGGGTAGATGTGTGGTGTTGTAATAATATTGCACTGAAATTTGATGGATTGATATAAATGGACGAAGAATACTGTAGGGCGAACATTGAAAAAGGAATGAATCAGATAGCCTTGTCTCCATAGACATCGTTTGACGATCATCCGCTGTGATCCAAAACATCACTGAAATTCCTTCATAAATCTTCTTAAGCCAAACTTATTTTTTGAGACGCTCCTTTTCGCTCGTTAAATGGATGGATTAGTGATTCGGCTTGGGTGTTGTAATGTTTCGTCATATGGTACTTTCTCAGATTGTTGTGATTGCGCACCTTTTTATACTGCCTGTGTAAGCGAAAATTTCAGAGCAATCAAAAATAACACACATTTCGAAGTAGATGCTTTGATGGAGTTGCCTGAAAAGTGAACGTAGCTCATGGCTCATCTTTAATCCCACCTCACGACTGTGGTTGACTTTTCATTCCTTTTTTGTGAAAATGAGATTTTCTTTTTATTTGGTTCTTAAAAGTTGCAAAGTTTTTGCTGTGGTGCCGAAATGTTTGTCTACACGTCAACTTGTCAGCGGATGAATTGTGAAGGTGGTTGGGAAAGTAAACATTCTAGCGACAAGCAGTACTGTAGGTACTTCCGT